ATAATGAATATGATCTTACATTGAATTTGTGTTCTTACAGCTCAATGGAAACCATACTCTTGAGGAAAATATCTGTGATTTTGCAGGTCTTCAGCAGTCATATACGGCTTATAAGCTTAACAAAGACAATACGTTTGTACAGTTGCCGGGACTCACAAACTATACTTCAGATCAACTATTTTTTATACAATACGCTCAGATTTGGTGTGAAGTGGTTAGTCTTGAGGGACATCGTCGCAGTCTACTCGATGACCACAGCCCTGGTAGATATCGGGCCAATGGAGGTATTGTACTCATAAAACGTGACAATTGTAATCATTTAATATATATTTTGGACAAAGTTTTAGTGAATTCCGAGCAGTTCTCCAAAGCATTCTTGTGTCCAAAGGACTCAGTGATGAACCCTTCAGCGAAGTGTGGCCTTTGGAACTCCAACTATGGCTGAGAGTATCCAATGAGACCAGACTTCCTCTCTGGCCATCAATGCATATATTGAGTACAAACTAGAGATTTATATCAATGTTAACATTCATGAGTTTCAAATTGTTTTATTAACTTTTATTATGCAAATCTATATATCATTATAAATGTCATCAACTTTTTTGCTTTATTTATTAATAACTTTTAAAGGATTTATTGAAATTTTAAATTTATTGGTATTTGTTTGCAAATACTAGACAAATGAGACAATGGGGGCAATGAATGCACCGATTCTTGTAGTCATTTCATTCAAACCATACATATCTGTAAAGAATTTGTCACAGAATTTGTCGAATAATGAATGTGTGACTGAATGGTGGTCTGGAAGTGGTGTTCACTGTATGACACACTGTGAGAGTGAGTGACTGTAGGCGTCATTGATGTCCAACACATGCAGAAAATGTGCGGATATTTGGGATTCAATTGAAGTGATCGCAAGTGATGTGAATTTCATCACTTCTTCGCTCATTATCTGCAGTGATGTCAACATTCAAAGTGGTGTCCCTATTGTCTGTCAATTGTCATCAAACGAGACTCACATTCAATTCAATGTATTGTCTTCGGCGACAAGTGTTGAACCGATCACTGAGTGCTTCCAATGGCTTCAAAGCGATCAATGGCTGGTCTTTCGGTCGATACACACATTCAATGTCTTCATTATCTGCGGTGTCGTTGTTTTCACACCAATACTCAAACCACGGCTTGAGATCCAACTTAAGAATGAATGCCACAAACGATTGGCTCAGGAATTGGCCGTCGATTCAGAAGATGTCGACAATCAGTGATAATTTGGATCCAAATAAAGATTCGGAGAAATTAGAGAAAGAGAGACAACGAGTAAAGCAGCAGAAGATCACGAAATACACACTTCTTGTCATGTTTTGCATGTTTTGCGGATCCGGTGTTTACGCGCTCCTGGAGTGGGGCGCGCCTTCACTCGACTCGGAGGGCAATCCCATTGAGGATGAGTTCTCTGCGATGCCATTAGCCGTGCAATACATCTACAGATCGTGGCATACGTTCGCGCACTACGAACAGGTGCTTCGGGAGCCCACCCGCAACCTCCTGCTGCCGCCCCCTCTGGAGCCGCCTTACTATCAGCCGCCGTTCACTTTGGTTCTCGAGATGACGGGAGTGTTAGTCAATCCCGAGTGGACTTATAGGACGGGCTGGCGCTTCAAGAAGAGGCCGTTTGTCGACTACTTTCTGCACCATTTGGCCACTTCAGGCAACTTCGAGATCGTGATCTATACTTACGAACAGGGATTCACTGCCTTTCCCCTCATCGACAGTCTCGACCCCAACGGGTATGTCATGTATCGACTGTTCAGAGATTCGACGCGTTATGAGAACGGGGTTCACATGAAAGACTTGAATTGTCTGAACCGAGACTTATCTAAAGTCATTCACATTGACTGGAATGGGAAGGCGTGTCAACTGAGCCCTAATAATTGCCTGACACTGAAGAAGTGGACGGGCAATACAGACGACCGCACTCTCTATGACTTGTCTCACTTCCTGAGAGCCATCGCCACGGAAGGGGTGGAAGACGTGCGACAAGTGATTGAACACTACTCCCAATTCGATGACCCCATAGAGGCCTTCAAAGACAACCAACGAAAGTTAGCTCAACAACAACAGGAGTCAACGCCTCCTCAACCGCCCCCTCTGTCCAGCAATTTGTGGAGTTCATGGAGACGACGATAACCTACTAAAACACATCCAATCGATTCCAATTGATCCATAAGTTTTAGTTTACTTATTCTAATTGTAGTCAAACAGTAATGAATATAAAACAAATTCATTATTCATATAGTTTTCAAATGCAATGAAATTCATATAAAATAAATATTGTAATAAATAAATGACAGAAAGAGTTGTGAATAAATTAATTAAATTGAGTTCAAGGGGTTTGTAAGGAGACGTCGGCGCTAAGACTACTGTCCACTTAAATGACTTGTGCCATAGAAAACATTGCATGCATTGTATGAATGCAAGCACTTATAGGCCGTCGTATTGATGATGCAATGCTGGGCTCACTATTGCTGTGAATGAGAGTCTGTGATCACTGATGACACCCACGATGACCAACACGAAGACTGCCAAAAGTCACACCAAAGACACGATTGAGTGGAAGAAAGTGTTGTACGCGCGGCAGGGCGTGAAAGACCATTACGTGCCGCCATCATTCCTCAAGGATTTGCGCAAAAATGGTATTAAATGAGTGATACACTCTAAGACATTGTCTCAATTGATTTGCTATCTGTAGTGAATCTACAGAAGTATGAACTCAAAGACTGTATCCTCTCGTCGACGGCATTGACGCAAGAGATCTGTTCGATAGTCATCTTCATAGTGGTCTTCCTATACCTGGATTCTGGTCGACCGCAGCTGTCGATTATCATCTGTATATCAATCGCTTTCATAACTCTCTTCCTGTACTCAACCCTCATATTCGTGTCGCCGACCAATGATGGTATGACTCGTCTTATGTCTGATCCTCTCGTGTCTTACTGTCATACCTGACGTAGTAATCAATGAACTGAAAAGCGCCGCCATTTTCCTGATCAGTGGTTTGGCGGTGTCTCCCATCCTGAAGACGTTGACTGAGACGATCAGTACGGACACGATCTACGCGATGGTGACGGTCATGATGTTAGTTCACCTCACTTTCTACGACTACGGGGCCAAAGCAGCCATCGTCAGCACTCCTGTCGCTCTCAACGCCGCCATCTTCGGGGGCGTATGTCTGGCCTCCCGGCTGTCCACCACTTACGACGCGTTCGCTCTATTAATCTTCGCGTCCGATATATTCGTCTTATCAGCGATTCTCAGACGAAGAATACAAACAGAAAACTGGAAAATATGTTTGACTTTATTTTATTGGAGCACTTCATTCACACTACTGTCCACTGCCTGTCCACTGGTATATCTACTGTTGTTTATTCTACTTCTAGTATGCATTACATTCATATGTCCACTCGGTTTCTACCGGTGCCAGAAGTACAAGGAGTATGTCTTCGAATATATGACTATTACTTATATAAAAATAACTAAACTTTATATACAATTCAGAAACATTTACGGCCCGTGGGATGAGGCGGTCATTGACGACACCGACCCCCACGACACACAACTATTCAACACTTGCATCAAATGAGGGCCTGAGAGACCGACTTGTGTTTGACTGAGAGGACCCGTTTGGTGCGCTCTTCATCGGCCTGCCACTCCATCTTGTGTTTGTGCTGCTCTATGGCCTCCCACACCCTCTCCATCACCATCTGTTCCGTCAGTACCCCATCGTGTGAGGCGTAGGCACTCGCCTGACAAATGCCACAATCAATTAATTTATACAATAATTACTGAGATTATATGAGCCCTACCTGCCAGGCCACTCCCAATTTGGATATTTCTCGACCGGACAGTCCTTCGACAAGTTGAGCGATTTTATCGCACGTCTCGTTGTAATCAAATTTATCTAATTTTAGTCGCCTTTCAGTCATAAAATGTGATATAAATTGTAAATATTTTTCAATAAATGACAGTATTTTGCAATTTTCTACAAAATTGAATAAAAGTCATATAAAGGTATACCTCTTTCCCTGAGCGGCCGGTTGTAACACGAATTGGTCGAAATAGAGCCGAACCAGCCGTTGGCGCTCCTGGAGTTCGGGTAACTCGAAGGCCACGAGTTCGTCAAGTCTGTCATTGATGGCCCAATCAAACTGTTCCGGTGTATTGCTGGCCAACACTAACATGAATTTGTTGGACTGTTCGCCAGTCCTGTAGAGGAAGGCATTGAGCGTTGCCCTCAAGTCTTCACTCATTATTTCGGAACTTCTTTTTCGTAGGAAAGCGTCCGCTTCGTCGATGAATAGCAGAAGACCTCTTCGGGAAGTGTTCGCCCAATTGAATGTCTTGTGTATAGCTGTGACCCCTTCGCGACCCATTGGAGTCACGTCTCCTCCGCTGAGAATCGCGTAATCCATACCTGAATGTTGTGCTAACCGTTTGGCAAACATTGTCTTTCCAGTTCCGGGCGGACCGTAAAACAGGATATTCCGATACAACCCTTTGTTTTTCTTAGTGTTCTTCGTGGCGATGGCCACATCCCGGAGCCGTTCTTCCAGATCTGGTTTCAAAATAACGCCTTTGAGGGCGTCTTCAGGTCTACGACTCAAATAAAAGCGTTTAGTCGTATGGACGGGATGTTTGAGAATATCTAAGAAGTTGAGTCTCGAGGTGTCCCTCACAAGCGATGGCTTTCCGATTCGCGATTCAATGGTTCGGCCGATTATATTGATTCCATGTTTGGCTGAATATATTCCTCCAGCGATTAGAGTGAGACCGACAGCAGTGGCGGACACGCGGTCCCAGTCGGAGATGAAGTTCTTAAAACCGGTTCCAATCACTTGTCCCGCGGTTTTGATGGATTCAATGACAGTCACCCTCTCTTCGGCGGCCTTTAGTTTGATTTGTTCCAAATATATGTCCCGATTCTCCCTCTCGAGGATAGCCCTGCCCTTCATCTCGGCCTCAATCCTCTTCATATCGCTCTTAGCCCTCAACTCCATCTCCTGCTCCAAAGTCTTGCGTCTGAGCGCCTCCTGTTTGGCCACCGATTCCTCTTGTTTTCGGAGGTTCTCCTCATTAGTCCTCTGCTGCTGAATGAGTTGGTCTTCGTATCGTCTTCGGGCCAATTGGTCCTGATATTGAGCCCTCTGTTGGTGTTGTTTGGTCTCCTCGGCCATCATCCGGCGCTTCTCTTCGTACTCCACTTTCCTGGACTCCATCTTCATCTGTTCCAAGTGGTTGTCGTACTCCTTCATCTGCTTCTGGAGATCCATCTGTTTGGTGGTCTCCTGGAGTTTGGACAGATCGAGAGCGTCTTTCGCGAACTTCGAGGCCTCCAAGTCTTTGGCCGCTTTGGCCGCCCTCTCGAGTGCCGACGAGTCGAACTGATAGGCCCTCATCTTGCCGTCACTGCCACCCACACCTCCACCCGCACCGTCCGGTGGGGCCCCACCACCAGCAGCACCCGGTGGGGGGACACCCATTGGTGGCAGTTGTGAGTTGGGGTCAGTCCTGTTGTACCCGAAAAGCCACGACATGTTTGACTAAATCAATGCAAAGCACGTGCGCTTCAGTACAGACACTGCTCTGCAATACACGATTCAAACACTACTTTCAAACCCAATTCAATGCTTGCATTACGTCATGAAACACATTGACAGCCACTCAGGTATTACGTTATGTGTGCAAAGGGGTCGGGTTTAGGGGGCTGTTTGCTGACGAGGGGTGGCATGTATTACAGTATGTAATACTAATTGTTGTCATACACAAAGGGTTCATCATTTGACCATTTTTAGTGCACATATTTTTTGTTTAACATTTCATTAATATTGAAAATTGACACAACTTTTTGCCGGTTTTGTATAACCGTTGTGTAATTAAAATATTGTAGACTATCATCATTAAATTGTTGAATAATATTATGTTTTAATCAGTTATTCATTCAATACAATACATGGAATAGATTAATATATTTTGTCTTTGAATTAGAATTTAAATTAACTTGATAAGTGCATATAAAATAATATTAAGGCACCTTTCAAAAATATCCTACCAGTCATTTGACATTTTAGATTTAACGTAAATTTACGAATCTTGATAGACTTAGACTACATGCTAAATATATGAGTTGTCTATAGTGACCACTGGCCAGGAATAAACAGTTCGGAGTTAACTGACCTTAGAGTAAATGATTTCCTTTTTAATTTACATTCAAATTTTGATTACCCTTACAGTATCATTATGATACTATCATATTCGTTATTATTGAAATATGAAATGGTTAGGTTAAGTTACCAATAATTATTACCTAATACTCAGTTTAACCCTGACCAGTGGTCAAAATTGCAATTATGATAAAGGTATGAATAGGGTTACCCACTAGTATACGAGGGGTTAATCTCAATTGACTCCAACTTTAATTATTCGTAGACAATATAAATAATATTTAACTTATTGATATTTATTGAAACAAACTTTAATTTCACATAATTTTAAAATAAATCTCATTTCGATTACAGATGACAACAGCTCACGATTGACTAAAACCGTGCAATAAATTAATTATATTTTCAAAGTATTCATATATCAGTAATTCATATATTTTGTTATAAAACAAAACACTAAAACTAATACAACTAAGGTTTAAATTGAAACTAAATCTAATTTTTTAACAAAAAAATCAATCAAACAAAAGATTACTAAAAATGCATATTACCCTCAATTTAATAGTTACGTATATTTAATGACTTTCAATATTAAGGTAATCGTCACTAAACTTATTTAAATCATTGGCCAAAAAGATGGCTTTATTCTTGAGTCGTCTCGAGATATTGGAGTAGTCGTCAAGTCGTTGGATCTGTTCGTCCAATAGTTTAAGCTCTGTCTGAATGTCAACAATCACTTCATCCACTAAATGGCATAAACGGGCAAAAGTGGACGACAGCTCTCTATACAAAACAATAGAAAAAACAAATTAATAGTAAATGAATGCATAATAAATAACAATATTATGATGAATACTGACTGTTGGACCTGATGTGAACAGTTAGCACTCGTCAGATCGACTATTAGCTTAAGTTTTTTAGTCGAATGGTTGACGTATTGTCGCTTAAAAGTGGTCTCTTTGGCCCTATTAGTCCACGTGAGTCTCTCGTAGATATACAACAGTCCGTAAACGCTGGCCGTAATCGCGATTAAACGCCAACCGATGGTTCGCACGAGAAAAGCACTGACGCCTAACACACCAACAGTTGTGTGCGATTGCGGGGAAAGTAGACTTAGTCTGTCAATCAGAGCCAAAGCGTCGGTATCCAAAGCGGTGGTGCGAACCACTTCGCTATTACTTGGGGTTTGCGGTGCTGTCGATGGCAATGATTTGGCATCTTTAATCTTATAATCACTTCTCGTAAATCTCTTAATCATTTGAATTAAACCGAAAGAGAACTTAAACTCCAAGTCTTCCTGAAAGTCAGAACAAAGGGATTCGCAGTTAATTCGGTATAAGATCTCGAAATTCTGTCGCGGATTCAGACTATAATTGAATTGTTTTTGCTGATCGCTCGGCGGAAGTAAATTCATAACGCGTTCAATCATCTCGTGTTGAGCCGACTCTACATTACACGACAGAGCGCTCGACAGTCGCGCCCTTAAGTTGGAGCCGAGGCCTCGCTCTACGTGTGAGTGAAGCTCTTTCTTGTAAACCCCTAACACAAGACAATCGGAACTAAAAGGTCGGTCAAAGTCATTGACCAGAAGAGACAGTCGACGGATCTCTTCGGTGAGAGCCGACGAGACCTTCACCTCTACCTGTTCTACCATATGGCAGATCTGGTGCTTCACCTCATCGGTCAACAGATGCATCTGTTGCTGAATGAACTGCAACTTATCCATCAATTCCTTTCTCTGTTCGCACTTCGAAGTCATCATTTGACTCGATTTCTGTTGAATAGCGTCGAGGATATGATTCAATTCAGAGGTCAACCTCTGGGCCCGTTTGGTGTGTTGTGCGAACTTAGTCTTGAGGGCCGACTGAGACAAACACTGCTCGAACTTGCGCTCGAAGTCTTCAAACTCGAAATATCTAAGTTGAAAGCCATCGGGAAATGCATTCGAGTTGACGGGTTGGCTCTGGAGGCGCGACTGCAGCACCTCTTTGGCCGACACGAAAAAGACTCGGTCTTTGGCTTCGTTGCTGTCGACGACATTGAGTTCTGACGAGAGAAAGTCAATATCACGGGTCAGATGTTGTTTGCGAACGAGTTCTTGGTTTTCGGGCTCTGAAGCGGAAGCGTCCCATCGATTGTTCAAAATAAAGACATTGGGTTTCGACAGCTTTTCGTTCACTTTATGGAAGAAATTCTTTTCAGTTCTCATTAGAGTTGACTCCGAATTGGAGACCAGAACGAAGACGTCTGCATCCAAGCAGTGCTTATCAATCCATTCGTCCAGATTGGCGGACACATCAATGCCAGGACTGTCCACAAGAACCACATCATCGCTCAGTAGAGAGCACTTGCTTTTGGGCCAAAACACGCGGACGAGAGTCGCGTCACCCATGCTTTCCGTCTTCAAGGCGTTCGCCAAGTCCTGCACCGACTCTATGTTCAGACGAGTGTTGGGGTTGTCTTCGACCACAATATAGGGCTCGTCCTCATCGGTGCCCTCGACCTGAAGGAAGCAATTGGTTGTGTGACCCAAACCTGAGGGCAATATCTTGTTGTGGAGGACGGCGTTAATGACAGAACTCTTGCCATTACTCGTGCGCCCAAAGAACGCCACTTTCATGTGATCCCTACTCAACACATCCCGAATGCCCACCACTTTGTCGATGAAACTGTCCACTCGAGTCAACTGGTCTCGAGTCACCACCTCTTCGTTCACATCTTTCACAAACTGTTGGCATTCAGTGACGAAGGCATTGATGTCGAGAAATATCTCGTTAATTGTCTTTTTGGCCAAAACAAAGACTTTAAGCGGATTATCACTGGACTCCATGTGTTGGCCATTCATTGCTGTCTTCTGTTGCAAACCGTTGGAGACCATCGAAAACGAGCGATTGATTAGCGAAGACATCGTCTCATTGTCTCGTGTCTCACGTTAGCGGCGGTTCACAAACCAGTCATCGATTGTCACAAGAATTGAATCCAATTAACAAATCGTTGCTTTAATTGACGGCAAAAACACTAATTGTTTACAAAATCAAAGCAAACATCGATCCAAACGTTGGGTCACTTCATGTGATCCAGTCGTCCATCAATGACGTGAACGCAGACACCACTCGTGTGATCAGCAAAACAGCAAAACATCTGAACATTGAATTGAATCTGAAATCGGATTCATTTGTCGGAAGCGTTGAATCAATCGTTTGAAGCGATGGTAAGGTTTGGTCGGAAGCCTTCGTGGAGTTTCCCGGACTTCAAGTCCAG